GTTCTGAATTAGATGCTTCAGAAGCTTTGCTCCCGACTTTCGGAAGTTTCCTGGTCGATTGAAAAAAGTTTATAAGCTTTGTAGTTCTCCTCCTAAGTTGTGATAGGTAAGGTTAGGGCATGCATGTACATAGGATTCTGAACGGGAATATGGAGAAGGGCTTTCCGTCACTCGAATTTGAAGTCGTATTTCTGTTGTTGAAGGCTGCTCGCTTGTTTGATTTTTTTGATTTTTTGGTTTTTTTCCCGTTTCACGTACTTTGTTTGGTTCGTCTGCCCTACGACGAAGCGGGAAACTGGTCTTTCAGCGCTAGCTTACTCCCTACCCCTTTGGATTAGATGTATAACTTTGCCTTTTTCACCTCCACTCCACCCCCCCCCCACCTCTCTCTACTATGGAACTTCGCAGGAAAAAGCCGTCGAGACGGTTTGAGAATGGGCAACTATAAAAATCTGCGACGTTTCCCCGAGGTTCTCCACTCTTTCACATTCGACTCCGACTCCCTCAACAAGACAAAGACGATCTATTTCCTAAATAGTTCTCAAATATCTCCTGCAAGTGGAGAAGTCCTCAATCGTGGGGTCATCTACGTTGGAATTCCATCAACTCAACCGCTTTAAAGGCAGAGCTCACGTTCATTTGATGTTCCCCTGCTCCTTTGAGCACGGTAGGCCTTCCTACAAGGAGGGAGGAGGCACTAATCTCGCAGCTCAAGAATGAGCGAAGCGCCGCCCGCTCGCTTGTGCAGAAATTACCGCTCCGCCCACTGACTAAACAACGCCCAACATCTTTCTAACGCATTCCTGTTGGTTGCGGTTGTTCCACTGCTAACTCTCTCCATTTCAAGTGGTGAGAGTGAGAAGATAAGGAGAAACAGTTGGCACCAACGAGTGACGACTCGTCCGCCCGAGCTCTCTTGTTGCCTTATGCACGTACAACCTCATTTCGGCATGAGGCTCTATAGAGTGCATTTCCCATGATTTTTTCCAGCTTTTTTCTTCATTGCTAAATCGTTTGCTGCCTTCTTGTTACTATTTGAGCCGGATAACTCATCACTTCGAACGTAAGCGGTGTTTATCGACAGGCCAAGAATATTGTTAACTCATAATCCTGAGCCTTCTAGTAACCAAGAATGACTAATTGATGTCTGATTCTTATCTAAACATGTACGAAATAGTTTTGTCGATTGATGATTCGTCCTGGTAAACATCGCGACCCGTCCCAGTTGGCACAACACCTGAAAGCACCCTTCGCCATCGCTGTGGTACTACGAACTCATACTTCTTCACTTGTTCCCTTTTTTGAGGATTCGGGCCTGTTTTAGCGCGTTCCTTTGTAGCAGTGCATTAATTATTCGTATTATCTATATCGATTTATTTGATAGAATGCCTTGAACATTGACTTCGCAGCTGTTGCATAGAAAACGATACAACGACACAATTTCTTACTTGTTTTTCTACATTTTATTGCCTTTTGTGCAGGCTCAATTTTTGGACCCCGGGTGGTATTTTGAAGGCCGTATTCTTTGCGAGGCGAGTATCGCATTTGAGTTTTAGCGATATCTCTGCAAGTCTTTCAAAAAAGGTTCTCAATTGATCCTGTTTGACATCTAAGAAAAATTTGTTTAGATCTTTCCAAACTGACCTCCTTTATTTTAAGGCACACGTCTGCTATAGGTCGTTAGGAGACGTTTTGTGAGGCGTTTTTCTTGCCAACTGACCAGGTAGGGTGCTGAAGACTGGGTTTGACCCATGTACACAATATGACAAAGGGGGTTCGGAAGATTTATTCTGGCTATGAAGAGAGAGAGTGTCCGGCGTGGGAGGACTGTTCCCTACGCCACTAAGAAGTAGAATGTTCACACAAACAAGTATACAGTTCTGCTCCGCCTCCTCGAGAGACTACTCACGAATGAGAAAGCTTGACGGTTACAGCGATAAAAGGGGTCGTCGTCGACTACACCAACATGCCGAGAACTTTTATAGTCCCATAAGCTCTTGCGAAACTACGAAATGGAACCTATCGTCTGCCGTTTGCGTAACATTTATCTATCTTTTCATGTACGACAGCATATCTTTAATTTGGGGAAATAGTGATGTTTTTTGCCATTTCTTTGTGGGCATTAGAGCGATATATCATTGGGAACCAGATGCGTGCCAGAAGAAAAGGTAGAAGCTTAGTCGCCCCGCCCACCAAAATTCGTAGGCCATTTTCTGTCCATTTTTACAATACGTTCTTCGTTTTGTTCGCTGCTAGATGATATCAGTGTTGAACGATACGGAGGAATGATTATTTAGCTAGATGTGGCAGGATATCGCTTTGCGGGCGTAAAACGAGCGGGTCCGGAGAACTCGTCCAGAGAGGCTAACAGATCTCTACTTAGTATGTCCTCCATGGTCTTTTTCCCCTTTTTTCTTCCCTGGTTAGTTATTTACACACTATAATTAAGCTTGACTATCCACAAGATACAACGGCGGTTCTTGTCTTTAAATTGTCCTGAGAGATAGTGTACCTTCATGCACGTCCAACTTTTGAGTCGCTTTAGTTGCCCCATCACTTCGCTCTAGCGCAGGAAGATGTCGAACAACGCTCATTTTCGCCAGCGTGACCCTCAGTTTTGATGCCCTAAAATTTGACAAAAATTGTCAAAAAAATCTGAGGTCCCCATTGGAAAGTGTAGAAAACTTCAAAAGGTTTTTCACCTTCCACAACTCTATATTAGAAAGAACCACCATAACGTATGGTTCAGCTGGTTACAGTCCAATATTCAAAAAATCTCGTCAAGCGAGTGAGACGGGAGATTCCTCGGAACTGTTGTTTCCTGATCGTACTGCCTTGACTCCTGACTAATAAACATTCTTTGTTAGTACATCTGTTCCCACGTCTTACTTTTTAATATGATTCTCTCAGCGCACACGCTATAATTCGCTCCTATCTTCACTTTGTGTTTGCCATTCCTGAAATCAATTAGCTCCTTTAGCGTTTCCATAGCCGCGTCGATGTGGATTCTCGTAGAGAAACAGAAAAGCATTGGCTGGTAAATGAAAGTGTATACGGATCAGCAAGCATCCACCTCACAAGCCACCGTCGACACCTCGAAAGGCCATCACCGACGAACCTCCTCATTATGGGTACCCCCGTCGAGGTTGGCACATTACTACTTTTTCTCAAATTTCGTATAATATGTCAACTTTAAATATTCGCTTTTCATCTTTTCTACCTGTTCATTGTGCAAGTCCACCATTTTTCTCATTGCATCCCTTGTGGACCGCTTCATAATACCGTGGGGGGGGCTGTTATCTAGAAGTCTGCGATTAAGCTTTTTCTCTCGTTAGCTGGACCAGCCATGACGAGAAGCTCGAGCTTCACCCAAGTGACCCCTCTTGTTGTGTCATTCTAAAAAGGAGTGACCACAGTACTCCTTCTTAGAATGACAAAACAAGAGCCTAATGGGCCTGGCCTAATGGATAGCGCACTCGCCCAGTCAGCGGGAGATCGGGTTTGAGTCCTGGCCTGGGTATGACTTTTACCCATAACTCAGCATTCTTGTGATAGCAACTCCCTTTTCTCGGAAAGTCTGAACAGAAACTTCACCTTTCTTCGCTATTTCCTGCCTTTTCCATCCCTCCATTACTTCTGAGACTCCTTCACTGCATTCCCTTAGTCTGAGGTGAACAGTCAACTTAATTAATTTCTTATTGTCTCTCAAGAGCAACATAGACTTGTTTCGCTCCCTTTATGTGCCGTTTATAAATGCTCACACGTGGCAGGGTGACTCAAAAGAGTTACAGAGTTTTTCTGTCCGTCTTTTTCATCCATCGGACTAGAACCTAATTGGCAGAGAGCACGGCCCGTTTCAAGAGCAGTCATCCATGAACTCATTGTTGGGCCTCACAAAGAACTCTATTATTTCGTCCAATAACCTCACCTAAAGTGAAGAAAGGTGAAGTTTCTGTTCAGACTTTCCGAGAAAAGTTTCTGCATCGCGAAATAAAGATTCTGCATCGCGGAGGGGAGGGTGAAAACATATAAAAGGATTTTGGGCCCTTCCCAACTTCTCTGATTCCTTCAGAATTTATCAAATTGTTCCAAAGGGTATATTTGTACAAAGTCCTTGCGATTCTTTCATCCTGAGCAATACCATTTTTGAAGCACTTTTAAAAAGTCAATAGCTAGTTTCCATAAGTGGAAGGAAAGGAAAGGCAGTAAAGAGAGTGAAAGGGTGGCTAACAAGGGCTGAACGGTGCAGTTCGGCCTATAGGGGGCACTGAATGATACTCAGCTAAGCTTCAGGTCACCTTGAGAAGACTTGTGAGTTCCTATCACCAAAGTGACTCATCCGCACCTTTTGCAGCTTCACAGGAATTTAAAAGTCTCACAATGACACCTGTTATTTAGCATGAACTAATAAAAAGGAATTTACCGAGAGTGAAAAAATCACGCCCCTCAGCTGAACAGCGGCCGCTCCAAAATAGGCAAAATGGACAAAATGTCCCCATGACTCTCGTGTTCTGGGTTCTGCGCGGGACTGGACTCTTACCCACACAGGTGTTCCCTGTTCCCTGGAAAGAAATTGATCACTTGAAAATGTGATTCTATACACCTTTTTCAAGTGATCAGTTTCTTTTCAGGCCTATATTCTCGAGCCCAACGCAAGTAATTCGCGAGAAGGCCGAGACGGGTGGACGAATTCTGAAGCGACATCGGTGGACACGATGGTTATTCGGCAACGATCCTGTATTGCCAGCTTATCGTGTTGTTACTCCGAACAACCAAGCTGAACCGCCACCAAGGTATTCCATCACATCGGTTTTGCCCTGATTATGTTTTTCATTGGAATTTTTAATCGCAGGTACGAACATCCTAATCGACGACATGCAGACAATAGAATCAGTACTACAAAATACAGCTTATTGACGTTCTTACCTAAAAATTTATTAGAGCAGGTACATTTCTTTTTTGCAATATGGTATTTTGCCCTCGAATTCTATTGAAATCGAAAAAAGTGGAATTTGAAGGTAACCTTTGAGGTGGTGACAGTGGTGCACTGACCACAGGCATCGCATATAGGGCAAATCATCGCAGTGATAAAGATTTTTTTTAATGTACTTCTCACCACCCACCCTCCCCCCATCTCCTTCTACGAGATATCAAAAAGATAGTATCTCCACAACGCACTAAATATCCCAATGCTGTGCAAGGGATTACTAACTTTTGGAGGGACGTCTAGAGGACTCCATCTTCAAGACTTGGGTTACCGTACTAAGGATATTTGTTCCACTCAAGCCTGCAAGTAGGAACGAGCTTTGGAGTGGGTGAACCAAGTTCCACTACGGTAGTTATATTCGGTTGACGTTTTCCCATTTTCGGGCAAAGGGTCCTTTAAAAGCCCCTTTTCAGTTTTTATGCGATCTGTACTAATACTAGATCGATATAAATACCCCACAATCCTGACGAGCAGAAGAAACGGGCTCTCTATTTGATCATGAACTGTTACCCCTTTCTACCTCCAAATTCCCGTATCCACACCATTTACAAAGTCTTATCTGACTTTCCAAAATTGGAAAGTATCCCTGCTCTCGCTCCTGTAATTGTCGAATGTATTTTTTTCGTCCTTCATTTGTGAAACACCTAATTAGTACCGACTCCTCAGCGAACCATACAGCACCCCCTTAGTGACTAACCATAAACCTTTCCTATCCCATTCTCTATATGGAAATTACAATGGTTTGCCCTGATCCCCCACTGATCAGGCCGCGGATGGAATCGACCTGTTTCAAGTATCCTGGCTCCGCTCTTGAGAGAGTTGATTCGGTTGCATTAACTGAGTTTCAGGCAGGGTCCATCAATCGTTGGGAATTTCCAGCAGGCGGGGTTGTATTAGGTTGGCGGAAAGTCACATTTTTTTCAAATTGGACTTTCTTTTTACAGAGAGGCGTACAAGATCACAATTATACAGCAATGTTATTGAGAGATCCTTGCGCTATCGGGGGAAGGGGGGGGATGGTCGTATTTGCTGTTGTTGGGAGAGGGAGTAGGAAAGTCGTATTTGGCTTTTGAGGGGAATTTGCGGCATGGGAAATATTTTCCGCGGGATGACTTTTTCCTGTTTCACATGTTCTCTATATTCTCCGCTCGACAGCGAAATTTTGGGGAAAAAGTAGGAAAATCCCTGGGAATTTCAGAAGAGAACCTAATGGTAAGAAAGTGGCAGTTAGGATGGGGAAGGGGAGGGTCATACCAAGCCACCTCCCCCTCCCCCCAATGATGTGCCCTGGTCCACGATCGAGCTTCAAAAAAATTCATTCTAAAATCAAAGTGCACCCAGTTGTCTCCTCTAAAGGAGCCCTTCTGCAATTGGCTTAGGGGATCAAATTGGTTCGATTGACGGATCCTATATGGTCCTTTCCCATAGGGCTGAAACTGAAAAGAGCTCCATTTTACTTAGCTTTTCTTTCTTTGAACTTCTTCGAATATTGAGAGACTGCATCGCTATTTACTTTTTCAGTTACATCGAGCAGCCTAATTTGTATTTTATATTTATTGTCGTTTTAAATATGATAATTGGAGCGTTTGGGAAGTACATATCATTGATGCCAATCTCTTTCGTTCTCGGAGTCACAGCTATAAAAGACGCTTTCGAGGTAAAACAATTGTCCTTTTTTATTATCGTAATCTTCTGTGAATTTGCCTTTTTTGACAAATCCGCTTTCCTATTGTTATTGTTTTCTCCCATATTTTACTACACTGTTCGCTCAGGATTATCGCCGATACAAATCTGATCAAAAAGTCAACCACTCCACATGTCGTGTTTGGGATTCGAGCCAGGGAAGGTGGGACAATTTACTCCAAATACCCACTCTTAGCACCGAACCTCGTGTCTTTCAGGTATCGTAAATTAGAATGGAAACATATTCTCGTCGGAGATTTTGTGCATCTGTCACACGATGAGATCATTCCTGCTGATATGCTATTGTTGAGAAGCAGTGACGCTAATGGTGAACCCTTTTTCATTGCATTCCATTTCTTTTGTAGAGCTTAGAAGCATTAGATATGTTGTTAGCACAATGCTAAGGAAGAAAAAAGCGAAAGAACCCGTTGAAATGCCCTAAAAGACCTCATGTACGGATTGAAAATGGACGAGTTAATCAAACTTTGGGCGAGTTCTCTGAATCTAATCGCCACTTGCTGCGACTCATTCTCCAAGGCATATTCGATAAGATTAGCAATTATCACCGCTAACGAATCTTGGTAATGAAAAATGATCGAGGTGGAACTTGTTCGACTCCGCCTCTCATGGGCGGAGTCGGCCCTGCGTTGCTGAGTTGTTGCAATCTTATCAAGCGCTTTTGAGCCGCGAAAGTGGGATATCCTCTGTGACCACAAGCTCCGCCATCTTGTACTCTAAGGATTTCTGCACCTTGGTTGATCGCGTGCGCTGTCTTTAAATAGTAAAGTGAGCGTTCCTTCTACTCCGGCACGAGTATGTGTTGATTTCATCTTCCTTGTAGTGAAAGAATGGCAAGGGATATTTGCGAGAACTGTTCCCGTTTTACGATGGAAAGAAGGAGGCAGTCTCACTACATCGTTCAAATCTCCCATATGGCATGATTTTACTATCTTAGGACAGAAACCTGTTCAGAAACCCAAATTATTCGTCAACAAGCTACATACTTTATGCTACGAAGTTGGTCATGAACTCGCAAGGCTTCTTTTACGTCTTTCTGGTATTCCTGAAAGTACACAGAAAAAAGCGAACTATTGGGTTGGCCCAAAAGTAATGGCGTTTCTTCTCACTCGAAATGTCGCGCTAAAGAAGAAAAGTTATGCCATCGAGTTTCATACGTTCTGCAGAGAATATCTTGTCCTATACGACAGTCTTTTTACAAGGGGAGGACGGTAGGACGAAGTGGCCATTTGAAATGAAATGTATACCGGACTGAAAGGTCTTCGGATGGGGATTACGAAACCGTCTTCCATATCTGCTTGGGACCACTCAGAGCTAAGTTGTGGGGTCTTTTAAGGGGGCATACTGGCATTCAATACGAATTAGCGGCTTAAGGCTTCATCTATGGAAGCAGTGTGGCCGAGTGGATACGTCATAGGTCCCCCAGGCACATGGTAGAATATTTGAATCCTTGTTGCGTGTTCTCTTTTGCATTTTTTTTCGGCAGTGGTCTCTGTGCACGCAAAACCAATTGCTTAGTTTTTGTGCTTGATAATGTCCTGACGTAATGTTTCTGAATTACCATATTCATTGAAGATTCCAAGGGAAGCATTTTTGGCTGTTGATTTCTTCTTTTATTGATTCGAGAAGCTTATTTTTTATAATAAAAATGCACAACAACGAACGAGTTTGCCTCGAAGAATGACTTCATTCTCAAACGACATGGCTGGACCCGAAACCACCCGAATACTTGGAAAGGCTCCCCACGACGTGACTTTGACGTGGCAACCTTGCCAGAAATCATGATGGGCAAAACCTTCATTCATCACTCACATAGTGTTGAAAGATGTTCTATTCCAAAGTGGTGCTTTCGCACTTGCTGGAAATCTTCGGTTGTGTGACAAATTCAATAGCCGAGAATGTTCTCCATGGTCCATAATCCCCTCTATTATTTCAGAAACGTTACATCAAGACATTATCAAGCGCGAGAGTTATGCTGAAATGGTTTCAAGTGCATAGAGAGCACCGTCGAAAAAAATGCAAAAGAGAACACGCATCAAGGATTCAGACCCGTGACCATGTGCCTGGGGGACCTATGACGTATCCACTCGGCCACACTGCTTTGATAGATGAAGCCTTAAGCCGCTAATTCGTATTGAATGCCAGTATGCTCCCCTAAAAAAGACCATAACTTCTCTTTGTGAGTCCGCAGCAGATATGGAAGACGGTTTCGTAATCCTCGTCCGTCCGAAGACCTTTCAGTCGGTATACATTCTCATTTCAAATGGCCACTTCGACCTACCATCCTTCACTTGTAATAGGAATGATCACACTCAGTATGTTGTAGCTTGACAGGGCCCTTATAAGAGTACCTTCCTTGTAGAAGGCGCTCAGGGCCAGACATATCAATCCTACTCGTCTTAGGGATTTATCGTGCCAACTGCATTTAAATCACTCGCGCACCCACCGTACACCGAAGATGGGAAGGGCGTGGCCTCACTTCTACATGGCGTGAAATGCGTCTTTCATGGAATATTCCTACTCTACACAACTATCCTCCTTTATTTCTTTATAACCTCTCCCGCTACATACTAACGCTTAAGTACTATAGGTTAGCTATGCCAAGGTTGCATGAAGAGAAATGCTGGAAAATTATCATTATAAATATAACCACAGTTAGTGTAACAGAAGTATGCATAATATATTGATCAGCGACGAGCGGTAGCTTGGATGATTGTCATAGGGAAAGAGAATAAGTGAAATATGATGTTAGTCCGCTGAATAATTGTGACAGTTGGACGACTGCTCACGATGACGCCATGGTGGCGCTGACGTTGTACAATGCGCCTAGGCCACAGCCCAGAAAAACGAGGGACTTCCGGCGAGAATTCTGTTTCTAATGGGACTCCCAACGCACAATGTTTACAGAACGGGCGAAACAGGTAAGATAAGATAAGACAAGATAAGGTAAGATAAGATAGAGCGAAACAAGTTAAAATGGGCATAGTTGAATCTGCTACACTTATGTGTATTTATTGTGCACATAAGTAAGTATTTATTTATGCACATAAGTGTAGCAGATTCAACTATGCCCATTTTAACCTGTTTCGCTCTATCTTATCTTACCTTATC